CTGAACATTACACCAGTAGCACAGACATTGAGATCGACAATTAATAAATGGGACCTCCTGAAACTGAGAAGCTTCTGTAAGGCAAAGGACACAGTCAGTAAAACAAAACATCAGCCCACAGAATGGGAAAATATCTTCACCAACCCCACATCTGACAGAGGGCTTATTTCCAAAATATATAATGAACTCAAGGAACTAGCCTCCAAAACACTAATCAATGAAATTAAAAAGTGGGGTACAGAACTAAATAGAGAATTCTCAACAGAGGAATCTGAAATGACTGAAAGACACTTAAGAAAGTGTTCAAAATCCTTGGCCATCAGAGAAATGCAACTTAAAACAACTCTGAGATACCATCTTACATGGTCAAGAATGGCTAAAATCAAAAACACCAATGACAATCTATGCTGGAGAGGATGTGGAGAAAAAGGAACACTACTCCATTGCTGATGGGAGTGCAAACTTGTAAGACCACTCTGGAAATCAGTACGGCAGGGAAATGAGAATCAGTCTACCTCCAGATCCAGCAATTCCTCTCCTGGGCATATACCCAAATAATGCATATTCATACAACAAGGACATATGTTCAACCGTGTTCATAGCAGTGTTATTTATAATAGCCACAAACTGGAAGCCACCTAGATGCCCTCAACTGAAGAATGGATAGAGAAAATGTGGTACATTTACACAATGGAGTACTACTCAGCAGAAAAAAGCAATGGAATCCTGAAATTTGCAGGAAAATGGATGGAACTAGAAGAAACCATCCTGAGTGAGGTAACCCAGTCACAAAGACAAACAAGGTATGTACTCACTCATGTATGAATTTTAGACATGGAGCAAAGGATTCCCAGCCCATAATCCTCTTCACTAAAGAAACTAGGAAACAAGAAGGAATCTAAGAAAAAAATGCATGGACCCCAGAGAATGGGAAGGGGCAGGATCTCCTGAGCTAATTGGGAACATAAGGGTAGGGGAGAGGGAGCTGGAGGAATGAGAGGAAGAGAAGAGGAGGCCAGAGGAGGCAATAGAGGAACAGAAATGTTGAGTTGGGGGAAGAATAAAGGAGAGCAGGATGAGAGATATCATAACAGAGGGAGCCATTGTAGGTCCGAGGAGAGATCTGGCACTAGGGAGATTTCCAGAGATCTACACGGTTGACCCGAATTGACAATCTAGGCAATGGTGGAGAGGATATCCTAAATGTCCTTCTCCTATAATGAGACTGATTACTACTTTATATGCCATCCTAGAGCCCTCATCCAGTGGCAGAGGATGCAGAGGCAGACATCCACAGATATACACTGAACTGAACTGAGCTGAACTCTGGAACCCAGTTGCAGAGAGGGAGGAATGAAGATCAAAGGGATTTGGACCAGTCTAGTGAAACCCACAGAAACGCTGGCCTGAACAAGGGAGAGCACATGGACCCCAGACTGTTGTCTGGGAGGCCAGCTCGGGACGGATCCAGACCCCTGAACATGGATGTCAATGAGGAGGCCTGTACACTCTATGGGGCCCCTGGTAGTGGATCAGTATTTTTCCCGGGTGTAAGAAGGGACTCTGAGAGCCCATCCCACATGAAGGGATGCTCTTTCGTCCTGAACACATGTGGGGGGGTGTCTTAGGCCTGGCCCAGGATGATGTGGTGGACTTTGGGGAGCCCCCTACCCTCTCTGGGGAGTAGAGGGGGGCTGGAGTGGGGGGTAGGTGGGGGGTTGGCTGGAGGGTTGGGGGGAGGGGAGGGAGAGGAAGAGGGATTGACATGTGAAGCAAGCTTGTTTCTAATGTGAACTAATAAAAAAAATGAGGGACTAATGAGATTACTCAGTGGATAAGAGTGCTTGCTCTGCAAATATGAAGACCTGAGTTCAATTCACAGTAACCACATAAAATCCAAAACATTTGTGTGTACCCTTGTAACCCCTGGATTGTAGGGGACAGTGATGGGAGGCTTTGCTCCAGTCATCTAACTCCATGTTCAGTGAGAAACTCTGTCTCACCTGAATAAAGCAGAAAGTGACAAAACAGGATACCTGATGTCATGCTGTGACTTTCATGTACATAAGGCACACACTGTGTACACATACATGTGCTTATAACACAAATACAGATACCCACACAAACACAAAATGGTAAAGCCAGCTGGATAGCTTCATTCCTCTGCCTCAGCTTCCTGATGCTCTCAGCTGTGATGGAGCAACCTCCTGCCTCCACAGACAGTGCCTGGTCCTGCCTCTGTATTCCTAGCCATGATGTACTATGTCCCTTGAGGTTTTAGAAAAACAAACAAAAAATTTTCTTGAATAAGTTGGTTTTTGTCAGGTACTTGGTCACCACAAAGAATAAAATAATGTAGTAGGAATAGACAGACTGTTATTACTTATTTTCTTCACATTAGCAATTTTAATTAGTTAATTGTACTGGAAAATATATAAGATGTATGTGGTTCACCTATAAATGTTTGAATTTATGAATATTGTTTGTAAAACTCCCATTCTTTTCAAGACAATTATTTCTACAAATCGTAACTTCTTACGTTGTTTTTAAACTTGTTATTTCTGGGGTGTATATATTTGCGAGAAAAACACTAGGTCACTGTATGAAGCAAAAATTTCTATGGCAAGATGATCTATGAAGACATTCATTCCATTTTCTATGAACCTCTAGATTTTGCTTTTACTGTCATCAAAATAAACTAATGTCTTTTCAAACAAGAACCACCATCATAGCTTTGGCTAGAATACCAAAAAGCCAAACTAAACCCCAAGAAACCCCTGAAAAGTATAGTAATATGACATAAGTTACTACTTTTCATTACTCCTATTCATAAAGAACAAGCTATGGACAAAAGAATATCAATTTTGTACAAAAGTGAGTAATTGGTATCTTTTTTAATGTCAAGTGTGTGTTTATTTTAGGTACTTTATGCATGTTGAAGAAAATTATACTGTCTTGAATAATTTTGCTTAATAAAACAGTATGAACTTTTATTAATTAAATTTATTAATTTATTTTACATCCTAACTGCAGTTTCCCCACCCTCCTCTCCTCCCATCTCTTCCTCCCTCACCTCCCAATCCATTCTTCTTCTGTTTTTGTTCAGAAAGGGGCAATTCTCCCTTGGTTGTCAACATGAATGGCATAGCAAGTTGAGGTAGGACTATCCTTGTATTAAAGCTGGGCAAGGCGACCCAGTATGAGGAATAGGTTCCTGGAAGCTAGCCAAAGCATTAGGGGCAGGCTCTGCTTCCACCACGAGGAATCCTACAATCCCACAAGTAGATCAAGCCACTGTCTGTAACACATATGTCAGTCCCAGGCAGGCTCTCTAGATGTTGGTCCAGAGTCTGTTTGCTCGTATAAACCCAGGTAGTTGTTTCCATAGGTTCCATTGTGATGGCTTTGACCCCCTGCCCAGCTCATATAATCCTTCCTCCCTTTCTTCAACAATTAATAAATGGGAACTTGTGAAACTGAATACTGTCAATAGTACAAAATGGCAGCCTACAGAATGGGAAAAGATCTTCACCAACCCCACATCTGATAGAGGACTTATCTCCAAAATATATAAAGAACTTAAGAAACAAGACATCAAAAAAAACAAATAATCCAATTTTTAAAATGGGGTACAGATCTAAACAGAGAATTTCCAATGGAAAAATCTCAAATGTCTGAGAGACAGTGAAAGAATTGTTCAACATCCTTTGCCATCAGGGAAACGCAAATCAAAGTGATTCTGAGACATCATCTTACACCTGTCAGAATGGCTAAGATCAAAAACACTGATGACAGCTCACACTGGAGAAGATGTGAAGCAAGGGGAGCACTCCTCCACTGCTTGTGGGAGCTCAAACTTATACAGCCACTATGGAAATTAATATGGATGTTTTTCAGAAAATTACTAATCAATTTGCCTCAAGACCCAGCTATACCACTCTTGGGTATATACCAAAGAATTCTCAATAATACCACAAGGACACTTGCTCAAGTATGTTCATAGCAGCTTTATTCATAATAGCTAGAACCTGGAAACAAACTAGATGCTGCTCTACTTAAAAATGGATAAAGAAAATGTGGTACATTTACACAATGGAGTATTGCTGAGCTGTTAAAAACAATGACATTAGGAAATTTGAAGGCAAACTGATGGAACTAGAAAAAAATCATCCTGAGTGAGATAGTCCAGACCCAGAAAGACAAACATGGTATGGACTCAGTTATAAGTAGATATTAGCTGTAAAGGATAACCATGCTACAATCCACAAACTCAAAGAGGCTAGGTAACAAGGACAGCTCAAGGAGGGGATCAGGCATGCATGGATTTCCCTGGGAAGGGAAAATAGAAGAGATCTCCTGGGTAAGTTGGAGGCTGGCAGGCATAGGAACTTGAGGGATTGGGTTTCAGGGGTGTAGATGCAGGGAGAGAGTAATGAAAGAGGATTCTTGATTAGGGGAAACCTAGTGCAAGGAAAACTCCCATGAATATACAAAGATGACCCCAGCTAAGTCTCCTAGCAATAATGGTTGAGTACCCTAATCTGGCCATTTTTTGTAATCAGTTGGTAATTACTCCAATTGTCATCAGAGAACCTTCATCCAATAACTGATGAAAACAGATCCAATGATCTACAGCTGAGCTCTGGGAATCCTGTTGAAGGGTAATGGGTATCTTAATTGTAGAATCAGTGTCTAAGACTGCCTGATTTACAAGCAGTCTATAGAACCTGCTGCTTATTACCACCTAATGCCCTCAGCCCCTTGCTGCTTATTACCACCCAGTGCCCTCAGCCCCTTGTTCCCACCAGTTACTCCGAACACACACACACACACACACACACACACACACACACACAAATTACTGAGGTCACTCAAGTGTGCAACATTGGTATCCTGGATACTTTGAACTAAAGGAGGTTTGGAGGCATCAAGAATAGTACTACACACAAAGTCTGTCTCTGCCCTTTTTCTAACTTACTTTTATCCTGCTTGCCTTGCAGGAGATGGCCACAGGCAGGCTGTAGAAACTGGAACCACTCTCTTCAGTGAGTATTCACTCTGCTCCTATAAGGCTAGATAGCCCAAGGTCATGGGCTGGGACATAGAGTGTGGCTCTCTCCTCTAAATCTAAGAATGTTGTTAAAAAGAAGAATTCAGAGTTTTGGTCTCATATCAGAAGAGTCACCTAGTGTGGGGCATAAGAAAATCAAAAATTCAGGGACTGTTGTTGTCAAAATTCTGTTATAGCCCCAAAATTCTGTTTCTCCCCATACTTACTTTCATCTCTTTAGTATCTTTATTTGAATAAATATCCATCAAAAAAATTAAACTTTCTGTTTTGATATTAATAATGTTTAAGTTTTCCACAAAGAACAATAAATTTTCCTAACAATCTCTGAAGTCTTCAGAAGGAAGATGGGGCCTCAAAATGTTTCCACCTGTTTCATAATGATGCCATCAAGCAGATAAACACCAGTCAAGGATCAGCTTTGGACTACCAACTACTCAAGACAATTCCAAATTAGGTAACTGAGATGGTTCACCTTCTTATAACACTGGCTAGAACTTCTGATAAGAACTCCAGATAAGCCTTACTTACTACTCAGCAACAAGGTACAAATGTTATAGCTAGTCTTCTTGAGACTTAATCATTGTTTTAATTTTCTTACAGGATCCTATAGAGAAACTGTCACTCCCAAGACAGCTGGAAGTAATTCTAAGAAAACAATCACCCCTCTCCCAACAGTTGAGTTGAATGGATTTTGTTTTTTTTCTCTCAAGGTTATGGATAATTGTCACCTGTTAAGTTATAAATTGTAATGGATTGGGGTGGGATATGAAGTTCTTAGACTCAGGAATCTCTTTTGGAAAAGAAAAAGGGAATGGATGGGATGGGATAATAGGTAGATTAGTGTATCTACTTGTGAACTATTTTAGCAACTATTAGTTATAATTTACATTTATATAGATCTTTATATTTTGATACATATGTAAAATTATTTTGTATTCCTTTCTAAGGTAATTTGTTTATTGATACAGATTCAAAATTACATTTGTTATATTATGTACATTCCTATTTCTGCTTACAATATTTTGTATACAAATGTAAGATTATTTTGTCATACTGTATATATGGATATTTCTACCTCTGCTTAAGATATTTTGTATATTGATACAAATTAAGGATATTTTTGTCATATGCTGTACGTTCATTTAAAGATTGCTTATTTTTCTATGAGAAGCTTTAGTCAGTAAGCTATATATGAATTTCAGGTAATGGTCACCCATGCTTGTCATACCTAGCTATGTAGTTAGGCTCTCTAGATGCACAGGTATGTACTCATCATAGATACTTGATCTTCAAACACTTCAAAGACCTACAGAATATGACATTTAAATGTTTTAATAATTTATAATCCTTTTGATATCAGACACAACTGCTCCTAGCAGCACTGAGCTATTCCCGAGAAAACAATGGGCACTGGAGATATTTCATTTGGAGCTTGTTTTCTTCTTAGCAAAACTGGCCTGTTAGGCAAAGAACTGCACTTGCTTCAACTGCTGACAGCAAGTACATTGTCCAAACTGACAAGCAGGTTACAAAAAAAAAAAGTGGCTGCTGATGCTTGCCAAGACAAGGTAGGACAGCCTTTCAAATTTTCCTGTTTCTGAAATTGGTCTGTCAGATATTCTAGGCCTACAGCCAAAGTTGATTGCCCCAATATTATTATGAGACTTTGGGTGACTGTCCAGGTAGCCAGATATTTCCATCATTTCTTGCACCTTTTGGAAGTTGCTTGCTTGCACTTCCTGCTTACTCAGGTAATATTATGTTTCCTTCTTAGATCTTTGATGGGGTTGAAGACTAGATAGTCACAGGTACTATGCTCTCATATCTTAGCTAAGACATTTTAGATACAAGACTTAGACTCCTCAGCATAGAGTAGCTGTGGGAATAATCTCTATATTTTGCCTATCACCTATAGCCTGAATATTTAGTGTGTATTTCTTGCTTGATGTTGTTCTTGGTTATACTTCTAATTTTATGTATGATTTACCTTTTCTTTTTCCTGGATGGTACTTGATATCTGTTCTCATTATACATAGTTTTGTATTAGGTTTAGAACTCTCTTATTAAGACAAAAAGGGGGATTGTTGTGGGAATTCATTCAGCCAGTAGCTTTTGAGGTACTATGTGTGACTGACAAATGCAGAGAGGTGGCATGCTCTCTTTCTAGGGTGGTGGTCAGAGATCAGATTGCAGGTTCCAGCACCCCTGGGCAGAAGGCCACAGTGGTTCTCTACTTCATTTATAATTCATGAGTGACTCCCCAATAAATGTCTGTTATCCCTTTAATTCAGGCTCTCATGGACTCACTTACAATTGCCTTTTATACTACTCTCTCTGAACTTCTAAAGAGGACATGGATAAGTAGAAGAATCTATGTGTTTAGCTTGCAGGCAAAAATAACATATCACAGACACACTCACACACACACTTACACACACATACACACACATACACACACACACACACACACACACACTTACATGTAAGCATGTTCAAGTTGCTTTCTGAGAGACAAATTATAAATCAACACAGTAGCTCCTAGTTTCCCAAGATATAATGATTGAAAACACTTATTCTGTTTTGTTTGTTTTTGTGGGAAAACTAAGCATCAATGGGCCTGACACCTGGCCTAGACTGATAGTAAGAGCATGCACAGTAGATATCTCTTGACAGCCAGCCTAGATCTGCCAGAGGGCCTTGACAACAGCAGATGAGAAATTATGTTGACCTATTCTATCAATAGCGACTATATCACCTCAGCAGATGCCAACTAAATGGATCCCCTCTGGGTCAGGGTTGAGGGATATATGAGGTTTACCCCTTCCTGGAATAAACTGAGGTTGTTGTTTCAATTTGTTGCCTGTGTTTCTGGTGTTACGCCTACCTTCCCCCATTCCCAAGGGACACCCGTCAGGATCCTGCAACATGATTTATTTAAGTCTTCTTTTCTAAAGAGAGAGAGAAAGAAAGCATGGTGTTAAGTGGGTAGGGAAGTGGGGACAATCTGGGAGATGGTGGGAGGGGAAGCTATGATCAGAATATATTGTTTAAATTTTCAATAAAAAATAAAATACAAATATAACTCAAGGAAATTATAAAAGAAAGTCATGAAAGAAGCAGCATTACCATGGACCTTGCAAATAGCATCCACACTGATTAGAAATTATGTCCTGTGGTTGGTACATTTTTCCATGGCTATAACTACACATTGCCTCTGAACATTTGGATCATGTAATTCACTGCCTTTGCTTACATTCTATGTGTGCAAAGCCCTGTATACCCTCTACAGAGAAAGACAGGCTGGCAAAACCTTTATTGACACTGTGGCTGCTAATGGGGTAGTTTTCATTTCAATTTAATATACTGGAATCCTGATATATAGTTCAGTATCTTAGTGTGAATCTTCTGAATCATTTCCTTTCACTATCCTGGCAAAATGGCATTCCTAAAGCTGCCTACTTAAGGTCAGCTAAAGGACTGGGCAAATGCAATTTCACTCAGCTTTCTGAAGTCTGTACTCTTCATGTAAACCTCTGCCCTCACTATCCACCTACCTTTTGGGCTGACTCTGCTGTCTTGGGAGGGGTATTAAAGGGGATTATGAACAAAACTAGCCTAGTCTGGTACATTTCATTTCTGCCTTATATAGCATGCTCCCTTTCTGTATCTAATATCCCACAAGATAACCATTTAAGTAATGTGAAACTCTGAAGCTTTTTAAACTTCAACTGGCTAAACCTGACTAGTATGCCAGCATTTTATGGTTTCAATAGGACACCTGGCTTCTTCAGTTTCATAAAGACTAGAAAGGGAAATTTAAAATCGCTCACAAGAAACCATACTAGGACATATTCAAAATCTAGGCGTTTTGAGGAAAATGCGCATGAGGAAATAATTTAATAATTTTGATAAGTGTCAGCAATAAATAAAAACAATAAAACACATAATTTTATTTATAATAAATCCTGTGTCAATACTAATTTGTACACAGTCCTCACATAGACTGTTGCCAAGCTCTTTTATCAGTAGATAAACATCATCAAATAGTGTATATCCTGTCTCTAGCCCCTTTCCCAATAAGTGTCATCACATTTTATTTGTCATCTATCCTTTATCTATTAAAATGAAACATTTTTCCACTTCATCATAAGCCATGACTCACACACTCCTCTACTGCTTGATTATAGTTTTGGTAATATCTCATTGTGTAGCTCTGTCTGGCCCGGAACTTGTTGTAGACCAGGTTGACCCCACAGAGATCTGTCTGCCTCTGATGTATTGGGACTTATGGCATGTGCCATCACACCTAGCTCTACCACTTTCATAATCATAGAGAAACAACAAGTCTTGACTGGTTTATCTCAGGCTCCACAAATATATTACCAAACATGGAACTGAGAAGAGATACACAGTTTCATACCCACCATATCTTGTTTCTAGCACAAATTTATCATGGGTATCAGTAAATTCAGCAGTGTAGAAAATAATAATCACCTGGTCTGTGTTTTGTTTTTTGTAAATTATAGTCGTGATTTTCCTCTTTGATTACATATGCAACAAATTCTCTAAACCTGGGCATGTTAAAACTTGCATCATTGTACCTTTATATATGAAAGATAGTTTAATGAAGTATAGGAATCTGCTTTCAAAATTATTTCCTTCCAAATACCTAAGTCCATCACTTCACTGGTACCAACTATAAAACTCCATTGTATTGTTGTCATTGAAAAGGCCAATATTGGGGAATTTCCTTATTTCAATAGCTGAATTTCAATAATTAAAAATTAGAGTTTTAAAATTTTAGATCAACTGAAATTTGTTATATAAATGTAGAGTTGTTTTCATTTTATTTGAGTATGTATAGAATCTGATTTAAAATTCTTTTCTGACAGTTCTGGTTATTTTTTTAATTTGGGAAAATTATGTATAATCAAGCTTTTTGCTTTTTTATAATTTTTTAATGTAGAAACAATCTTGTTTTACATATCAATCCCAGTTTTCTCTTCCTTCCACTCTCCCATGTCCACCATCCAACCCCCATCCACTCCCCAGGGAGGGTGAGGTCTTCCATGGGGATCATCAAAGTCTGTGATATCATTTGGGGAGTGTCTAGGCCATCCCCCTTGTATCTAGGCTGAGAGAGTATCCCTCCATTGGGAATGGGTTCCCAAAGTCCATTTGTGCACTAGGGATAAATATTGGTTCCACTGTCAAAAGTCCCATAGACTGCCCAGGCCTCCTAACTGACACCCACCAGGGGGCCTGGTTCTGTCCACTGCTGGTTCCCCAGTTTTACTACTGAGGTCTATGTGCTCCCACTTGGTCAGGTAAGCTGTTTCTGTGTGTTTCTCCAGCATGGTCTTGACCCCTTTGTTAATCACTCCTCACTCTCTACAACTGGATTCCAGGAGTTTAGCTCAGTTCTTAGCTGTGGGTCTCTGCTGCTACTTCCATAAGCTACTGGATGAAGGCTCTAGGATGGCATTTAAGGTAGTCGTCAACCTCATTATAAGGGGAAGGGCATTTAAGGTAGCCTCTCCACTATTACTTAGACTCTTAGTTGGAGTCATCCTTGTGGATCTCTGGACATTTCCCTAGTGCCAGATTTCTCTTTAAACCTTTAATGGCTCCCTCTATTAAGGTGTCTCTTTTCTTGCTCTCCTGTATTCTTCCCCTGGCTCAGTCTTTCTGATCCTTCATGTTCTCCTCCTCCTTCCTCTTCTCCCTTTCTCTTTCTCCTACCTCCTTCCCCTCTCACTTCATGCTCCCAATTTTCTCAGGGGCTCTTGTCACTTTCCCCTTCTAAGGGGAACATGTATGTGTCTTTAGGGTCCTCCTTGTTTCCTAGCTTCTCTGAAGGTGTGGATTATGGGGTGGTAATCCTTTGCTCTATGTCTAGAATCCATATATGAACGAGTACATACCATGTTTGCTTTTCTGTGCCCAGGTTACCTCATCTAGGATGGTTTCTTCCAGTTCCATCCATTTGCCTACGAATTTCAAGTTTCCATTGTTTTTTGTCCCCCCCCCCCCCACTGGGTAGTATTTCATTGTGTAAATGTACCACCTTTTCTTAATCCATTCTTCGGTTGAGGGGCATCTAGGTTGCTTCCAGGTTCTGGCTATTACAAATAATGCTGCTTTGAACATAGTTGAACAGATGTCCTTGTTGTATGAAAATGAATCCTTCGGGAATATGCCTATATTGCTGGATCCTGAGGTAGGCTGATTCCCATTTTCCTGAGAAACCACCATACTGATTTCCAGTTTTTATTATTTTAGTTTTATTATTTTTTGTGATGTTTCTATTCAGCTTCAGACCTTAATAGATATTTCTGAAAACAAGAAAATTGTATTATCTTTCAGTAATTTGATTTTTTTATGTTATTTCTTTTTATTCATAGTGGTATGCCTTTTTGATTTAGTAATCTTGGTTGAATTTGCCCATTCAAATTGTTAAGTGAAGGACAGGCACAATCAACAGATTCATAAATATCTGTTTACCTAATTAGCATTGCACATACATAGGTGTTTTTTTTTAACCTGCCTGGTAAATGTAAAAAAATTAAATGTAAAAAAATAATTGACACATTATCTTGGTGGATTTTTTCTTTAATGTGTATGAAATGCCCTTTCACATGTCTTTTGATAAATTTTATTTTGAAGTCTATATTGTTGGATGTTGAAATGGTTATACCAGTTTGTTTCTTGGATCTATTTGCTTGGAAAGTCTTTTTCCAGACCTTTCCTCTGATGTACTGGTCTTTGATATTGAAGTATGTTTCTTATATGCATCAAAGTAAAACAAACATATTTGTATAAATGTGTGCTCTTTTGTGAGTGTGTTCCTTCTTTGTTCACAAATAAGGGAAGTGTCTCCTACACACTTTAGAGTGGAGTGGAATTTTTGTTCTTTCTCATTTTTGTGGTTTTAGGCCTCTGCACTTAACAGAGTGTATGCTCAGGTAGATTTATATTGTTCATGAAATAAAATTCTTCAGTGTTGTGTATATTCATTGTAGGCATATGTGTTTTTCCAGACATTGATACCTTAATATTCCTTTTAGTCCTTTTGTAGTCACCTTTTCCCACCCAATTAAATTACATTTTAATTCTACACTATATTCTGATATATTTGTATCTGATTATTTATTGTATTTGTTAACTATTATGTATCTTATTTATTATATCTTATATTTATTGTATATAATATTCTTCCCTATTTATATTTATTTTAAGCCTAATGTTTAAATTACTATAATTTCAAGATTATTTTAATATAGGAACAGATTTTTAATGTATTCCTGAATTATAGTGGTATTCTCATTAATGCATGAATAGAAAACTATACAAAATGGGTCAGCAAGATAGCTTAGCAGGCAAAAGCATTTGCCGCAAAAACCTGATGACTTGATTCAATCTCTACAACCCATGTGGTGGAAAGAGAGAACTGATTCCCTCGAGTTTCTTATGATTCCATACACATGTGCTATGGCACATGCATTATGACAGATGTCACACACACAGACACACACACACACACACACACACACAGACACACACAGACACACACAGACACACACACAAGCAATCAACCCTGAAAATATACATACACATAAGTAACATTATGGACTTATCAGGTAGTATTCAGAAAAGTTAATATATGTACATATACACATATGTATGTAATAACAATTGGTGAAAAAATAGACCATGAGTTTGAAGAAGAAATGGAAAAATATGGAGAGATTTGGAGTGAACAATGGTAAGAGAGAAATGTAATTAAATTATAAACTCAAAAAATAAAATAAATAAAAAAGTAAAATCATTTAAAAGTTAATTTTTAAATTTATAAAAGAAATCTGATTTAGTAATAATAGGTGACATTGAAAAAGTTAATATATGGGAAGGAGTAAGCAGAATTAAACCAAAAATTAACTTTCAAATTTACTCTGAATGTTTATTATCTTTGAAATTTCTATACTCCACATC